ATCATGTAATATGATGTGATGATTCACGGTTACATTTATGTTCACGGTCATATTCTGTGAAATCCGATGCTAATCATTTATCGATGTACTTAAACTAAGTAAATGGAAAAAAAATTATTTTATTTGGAAATTACATTTGGTATAATCGCTGTAATTCTAGCATCTATAATGCAACTGATGATCTGATGAGTATAAAATGAATAGAAGATAAATCGATATCTCTAAAATTATATGCGCGATAAAAACACGATGCGAACACGTTGGTTTATTCAAAGCCCCCAAAGTGCATCAACGTATATTGAATCTGCATATTACATGCGGCACTCCCATTGATACGTTGCCGTCCGCGAAGAACAATAAACAAGGCTTGTCCACCGAACGACCGTCGTAAAAGATGCCCTAACGTTAAAGCCTCGGTAAGGTCTCTCGATGACATCTCCCCGAGGAACGGAGTGCGCGAGCTAGAAATTAAGAGGAAGCAGATATATACTGTGTCCGAGAGAGTTTCAACCAGCTCGAGATAAGGCCGTCGGCTGGCGCGTTGCGGTAGAAGTTCATAAATTATTCGAGCCGGGAGAACCGAAATAGCGGTGCGAATGCTAAGGTTAGTAAGGATTATTCACGGCACCCCCAAAGCCGTATTATTTAGCATTGGTACCTACTCTCGCACTCCCGGCTCTTTGCTCGCACAATTGTCGCGTTCTTCTTTATTATCTCACCCTGAAGTCCCTTTTCTCGTTCGTTTCCTAACGTTTAACATCTTTCACGCATCCACGAGAGGCTATGTTACACCTTATACGAAGTGCGCTCTTCTTACTTCGCCCTTTATTTTTATTTCAAGATTAAATCTTTTTTTAAAGAGTTACGTGAAGATACAGAAAAACGAACAAAATTCTTACAGAAGAATTCTTCTGTATTTTATTCGTTTTTAATTAATTCAACACTGTTTCGCATCGTGCTTCTGCCAGTTGATTCTACACGTTGAGTTAGAAGTAACGAATAAGACAATTATTCCAAGAACAATGGAATTCCGTGTGCGTGCAGTGTAATTTGCGATTGTAATTGAGTGCCTGCAAATATCCATACAATGCCCGATACACTGAGAGAAAAAAATGGTCGCAATTACCATAATTTAACTATAATTTACAGTCATTTTCGGTGCCAACTATATATTTTTGGATAGAACTATAAATATAATTATCATTACTAACACCGTAGTAGTAATAACTATAAAAATAGAGTACCTAACCATAATTATTTTGCCATGCAATTATAGTTGCGAATACTTTTCTCTTAATATTCCTTCCGCATGTGCGAATGACTATCGTTCGCATTGTGAACTTCCTCTTTTAAAACCGGATTCAAATCAAGTAAACGAGCGTGAACAAACTCGAATGAATTGTACAATAGCACTGTTCGCGCGCTCATTGAAGCAAGTTGATTCGTGTTTGTTCACATTCTCTTGCTTGGCCTGGATCTAATTTATGTTCATTTCTACTAATACTGATTAGTTAACATTAATCTCGGTTCAATTTAAAAAGTAAGTAGGTACTAATGACTATTCCTATCAATATAGATTAATTTTAATCTTGGTTCACCTTACTCTTCATCTTTTTCCAATTCTTAGAATTAAAAAAAATGAAGAATTAGTTGAACCGAAATTAAAATTAAACTGCACTAATAGAAACAAACAAAAAATGTAGAATAAGTTGAATCGAGATTAATTCACAATGATGGAAACGAGCATTAATATCAAAAGAACGATGAAAAAAATTAATGTAAAAACTTTATTTATACAAAAACATAATCCATCGAGTGCGCGTAATAACGACGAAAATAGAGACGTAGCGTTAATAATCGCGAGACCTCTGCGTTTTGGTTAGGAGAAGATATAGTTGAGAAACTTTTCAAGAGCAATTAACCCTCATTCGGACAAGCTGAGTCCCTCGAATAACTCAGAAAATTTCAACTTATAAATTCACTTGCAGAAATAAGCTCCTACTAGAAGCCTCCTAGGCCGGTATTCATAGTCGATTCTTATATTTAAGACTGTCTTAAGTATAGTTTTAAGATTTCACGAACCAATCAGAGGGCCGCATTAGCATCTTAAGACATTACTTAAGACGATCTTGAAATGAGAACGGACTATGAATATCGATTCTAGACTTCGCGGAAAGAAAAAGATCACCAGGGAAATAAAATGATATCGAAACGTCAGCCTGAAAAGAAGAGAACGTCGCGAAACACACGACGGGAAACCGTATCTACGAGAAAAATCCGATTTGCAGAAAGCTGCGAAATTCGTGGGGCGTGTCGTTGTATGTAATGGTTGCCGTAATCGAGGATCGATAAGCTTGCGAGTTGCGATACGCGAGCGATCTCATCAGAGCGTACCGCAGTTCGTCGAGTCCTGTTATTACATAAGCGTCATCTTTTTTTTCTCTCTCTACCGAGAGATTGTATCGCATGTTGTAATAATGACGTACTTGTGGACTTGTCCCGAGGTGTCGGAGCGAAGCGGGTAACAATGAAATGAGTCGTGGTTTTTTACAGAACAACGCTTACGTCGAGATATTAGCCACTGATACCAGTATCGCCGAAAGCGACGATGCTTGAAATAATTAAATCATGTTCTTACGCGCCAACGGCGGACGCGAAGCCAATTTGCGTTTTAAGCCGGTTCTCGGCGCGACGCGACAAAAGGGAGAAGAAGGCGTATTCCCGCGTACATCTCGCGAAAGGATTCTTGTCAATTTAATTGCGACCATACAATATCGGCCATTAAAATTCACAACTCCTCTTTAGGTAACTCGTTGTAATAAAAAAATCAAAAAAGAGATAGAACTATATAAATTATATTATGTTGAGAGACGTTTATGATACTTGTGACTATAATTACATACCATAATTATGGTTATTACTGCTATAACGTTAGTAATAATATAATTGTATTTATAGTTCTATAAATAATATATAGCTAATATCAAAAAAGTATGTCATTTATTATCATAAAAATGATTCAAATGGCCATAATTTAGCCATAATTTATAATCATTTTTGGGCTGACTATATTTTGGCCTAAAAACGTTTATAAATTGTGTAAATTATGATAATTGTAACAATTGTTATGGTAATAATAACTATATTTACAGTCATTTTTTGTGCCAACTATATTTTTTTATAGAACTATAAATATAACTATATTATATTAGTAACATTATATTATTATTAGTAACATTATAGTAGTAATAACCATAATTATCACATCATATATTTATAATCACAAATACTAAAAACTTTTCTCTATTATAGTCACTCTAGTATAGTCACATTCTTTACCGGAAATACATATTGATTTGCACTAAATGTGACTGTGTAACGGAAACCACATTAAGTGCATTTATTGAATAGCGCATGTATCGCTTATATACGTTATATATATGTTAATAAATGTGTAAACCGAAGCACTGATGTACGCAAATAACGGTAGAATATTCAGTGATAATATTTCACGAGCAGTCGCGCGGACTATGTACACGAGTGCGTCTGTAATTATTCGTCGCGCTATCGTTATTTAACTAGATGTATCGCCAGCCGTAAAGCGATCGCGGTCATAACTCACTCGACATTTTACGCATGCGTGACAAATGGATTTTTTTTTCTATAGGATCCGCGCGATATTTCGGATAATCGCTCGCCCGCCGATATGATTCTGGCTTTACTGCTGGGCGATTAATGACGCGCAACTCGGAAGCGTGTTCGCCAAACGATCATTCGACGCGTCAGTTTTAACAGCGAGCTACCGGTTGTACGAGCAAAATCGATAATCGAATTAAATTAATTTTAAAACAACCCTCCAGCGCCTATAGGCTGAATTCAGAACCGTCTTCACCGTCTACATTAACTAGCAGCTACGGTTATCTCGAAAATGACTACCTTACGTATCGATTATCGAATAAGCCATGAAGGCGTTACCTTCGTATATCGCATGGCATTAATTATGCAAATGAATTGACTGAGTCGGATCAACATTATCATCAAACCGATACATCATGAGACAATTTCGCGAATGAGGCAAGAATAACGTTATCCCCGTCAGCTGATTCCGGGTTTCTTTTATAAACAAATTATTACATCGCATCGCGAATAAAGTTGAATGGAATAAACATCGACATTAAACAGCCACAAAAATTTGCCGCTCAAATTTCATGTTGTATTTATGCAAGAAATTTTTATTAATAAAACTGTCCTCTTTACGTCGGTCGTAAAAAAAAAGATTGTGGCGTGTTTCTTTCTCGTGTCATACTTTTGGCTAAGAAAGCGTCCCAGCTGTTACATGTTAATGTCGCTTAATGACTTACAAATAAATTGCCAGCGATGTGTCGTGACTCATCCGTAACGGACGGACACCGCGAAGTCCTTGAGAAAAGTGTTAACACCTGCGAGAACTACGCGCACTGATGCACGTAGAGCCTGACGATCGTTTATCGTCTAGGAATCGCTTACTTGGTCTTTAAAAGAACGTTTCACCGACGATGAGTCAGTAAGAACCCGATCTCCGTCGCGAGATTGCATTTTCTATTGCGATCGCACAAAGATAATCGGGCATAGGAAAGAAGAGAAACTCACCATCACTTCATGTTAACGTATTAATCAACGTAAGCTGAATATGTGTTCGCTTATTAACATTGAGAAGCAGTATTTCTTTATGTAACGACGTCTTCCCGTATTCCGAGACGTCAGCCCGTAGCCGCAAAATGGTAGATAATGCGCGCGTTTGAATTGAGGGGCCAACAACGCTGAGTAATTCTTTCGCCGCGAAACATTTAAAGCTTATGATTCATATTCGAAGCCGTAAAGTAAGTAGAGAAACGTATAGCCTCGACCAAAAGCCTGTCAATACGTATATATGCTTTTAAAACCGCACACGACGAATTAAATACGAAATAAAAATAACACGAGAATACAATCCGCGGTTCTCGCGAGACAAAAGGACTTACCTTCTTTGTTGTGTAGAGTTTCCGGCCTTGAAGTAGCATGTACATCTTCTTCCAACCGTTCGAACTCGCATTTCGCATCCATACCATGCTGAATACGTACGGGCACTCACTGTCCTCCCGTAGCAGGTAATTCTGTAACATGAGCGTGAGCAACATACATTTGTCGTTTCAGCCAGCACGGTTTTCATACGTGATGATCGCATTGGCAGGAAATAACACGTGTACTCACCCTTAACGCACTCTCGGCTTCGGTAAATGTGCCCCTCTCTTCCCCGCTGGGAAACGCAATCATGTCCGTGGGAAAAAATTGCTGCAAAAAAAATTGGAGAGATGTCTCTATATATACTGTCATTTTTTACATTTGAAAACGGACATCAAGAAAACTGAATTTCAAATCGTTTCTAAAATTGACGAGAATGAATTCTCGGAGAGAATAGTGATGCGGAGACGAATCTGAAATATTTCAGGAACGAGAAAATATAAATATCTCTCGCTCCGCAAGTATCTCGGAAAGCAGTTCTATAAACGCACACGCATTACTTAAGAATCTTTTTAAAGATTCAATGGATGGAAACACAAACACTCGTATGTATTTACATTCACATGCGCAAAGAGTATCTCCCTCTCGTTACAAGAAAAAGAAAAAGTCTCGAGATTTCCCCGAAGAGTGTAGATTACGACGTTCAATTTCCCAAGTTTCTACGCTCGTTATTCCTTAATTGGCCAATCATCGGCGAAACTACAAGATTTATGAACCTAAACTGATTGAATTTCAAAACCGCTAATTGATATCAAAATGTATTAATTACGAAGTCTTAATAACTTCGAAGCTTCACTAATAAATCGGTATCTCTTTACTAATTATAAAAACTAATATTTTCTAACAAGATCCAATAAAATGATAACTGCGAAATGTAAATAAAGTGTTATGTTGAAATTTTTTGCCTACACAAAATCTCGATGCATCGAGTTTAAAATGGAGCTGCATGCTCAATCCTGTAAAATCCCAGGACACGAATGTTCCAATCAATACTACCGAATCCTTGAGACCCCATACCCCATACACCAATCGAAAAAGCGTTTCTCGTGCCATCTAACAATCTCTTTAAAACTTCTCTTGAATATAACCGCGCGATTCGCCGGTAAACGAGAGATCTGCTAGCGGAATATTCTCATATATACCGACAATGTTCACAGAGATACCGACGAAGTATTAAAATATCGACCGGGTTACTATTTAATATTCTTGACTATCAACCGAGTCTGAAGATAGCTGAAGATCCCTAATATTACCGACATTTCAGATTCACAAAACTACAGTTTCGCAAAAATTCAATGTCGATATCAACATTACATACCCCATACAGAATTTGCAACAATATCGCTGCAATATTACTGCAACATGCAATATTGCTGCAATGTTGCAGCATTATTGCAGCAACTTTTGTGCTGTAGGGGACGTTACACACACACACACACACATATATATATATATATTTATAGAATGGAGCAATTGGAAAATGTAAAACATTAATATGACAAATAAATATACAAGTTAAAATCCAATATTAGTCAAAAGTTGGTCGGTAAAATCGAGGATGACACTTTATCTAGAGTCGGCAGTACTTCGTAGTTATTTAAACGCAGCTGCAACTGCAGCTTAAGTGGTAAACTCAGTCGGTAAGTTAACGCGTTTAGATTGAGTAGAATTTACTTTTTGATGCGATAATAACAAAGAATGCAAAAATTTGATCATTTTCTGAAAATTTTGACACATGCTCTTCAGAAGTGTATAATTAAAGAAGCAGTTTTTTTTCTGCAAAATAACAAAATTCTCTATTTTTTTACTTACCGCAGGCTTGATGAACACTTCATATTTCAGGAAGTCTTGACTAAAATAAAACCTCCTTTCGTATTGAGAAGCGAACATTTCCAATTCTCTATGAACAGCAAGAATATCTTCATGGTCTTCTAAAGTACGCTCTGCAACAGAATAATTCATCCTATTTGCGACAAATATATTGCTGTGTTGTTAATAACAACACAGTAATATATTCAGCGACTTTTTAAAATTATATCGAATAGTATTCGAAGACACCTAAATCGATATCTGTTTTAAGAAAATAGGGAAAAGAATATTTTTCATATCTGTTACATTATAAATAATAATAAACAGTGTAATATTTCATAATGTTTCTAGTCATAAAATATTTATTCAAAATTAATTTTAAAACTTATAAATAAGTTCTAATAAAGAGAGTTTTATGGTTACAGTGCAGATCTTGTTATACAATTAATTTATAAAATGATTCCATGGAAAACACATTAGACTAGAATAGCCTGACATTTTGCCCGGATCTGTAAACAAACATTTCGTACGGAGACACAGCCGCGAGTCGCGTCTCTGACCTGCACCAAGCTCCTGGAGGTTTCGCCCGCTATTGATTCTCGGTTGCATTATAGAGCTCTGTGCCGTCTTTACGGCCTCTCCAACCCCTTTCCTCCCTTCTCCCTTTATCCCTCACCATGCACACGTTATTTCCGATCTCGTTCCGAGTCAATGTCGTAGAGAAAATTTAGACGACTGAAGTTTTCTCGTTGCGTTAGAAGCTCACCTTGAGGCCTCTCCTCGGCTTGATATGCCTCGAACTTTTAACGAATTATCCGTCTTTTACGAGCGCATTGATATTTTTGTAAATAAATTATTTGTTATCGAGTTCTTGAATAACTTTTAAGTGTATCACATGCAATAATCAAAAATACGAAAATATTCGCTGATTCTCCATATTTCCCTATTCAAGCATATTTGTCTCCATCCACGTTATCAATAAACGCGATAACAATTCGGATATCGAATTAAACGTTTAATTCTGTAAATTCCATCCATTATGTTTGGGTATATTCTTCACATTTGTGTGAATTACGCATGCATTCCAATAATATAAATATAAAATTGTACGCATGTATACATGTATATAATATAATCAAAATGTACAGAATATTCATATTTCTCTAAAAACAATTAACGAAAAACTAATGATTCCACGAATAACACATTTTATAGCGAGTAATCGTTACAATCGTAGACTTTAAAAGTGTGATCCATGACACATTGCTACTCGCACGTAAGCACCAAGCATATAGAATATATTTATTGATTGATTGTTAACTACATTTCCGAGAGAATGCATAGGCACTTTAACATACATTACGCGACAGAAATATCACACATTACGATATCATTTTTATTATGTTTATAATATTACATACCGATTCCCAGTTTCGGCCACGTTTCGATTATCGACCAGGCTACGCCGATCGTGTTCCTCTTGACTTTGAGCAACTCGCATAGGTCGATCGTTCGTAGATTCTTCTCGACGACCACGGTCGTAAAAGAGTGATCGTTGTTATAAAACCGCAATTCTTCCTAATTAAATAAACATTGGAAAGACATTAAGTAAACAATTGAATTGAATTGGATACAATTCAATTAATTAATCAAATAATTCGCAATTTCTCTTATAAACCTCTTTTAATTCATCTACTGCATCGTAAATAAATTATAAATATTTTGTTTTATATAATTTATATTTTGTTTTGTAATCAAATAAATTTACATAAATTAATAAATCAACGATAATAAATTTTTGTTTTATAAAGATATGAGAAAAATTTGTGTTGTACTTTAATTATTTCGTCATATTTATGAATTCTATTATATTTATTTTCATTTTTCAACATAATATGTAGATTCCACTTATATAAATTAAACACAATATAAAAATTTACTACTTTATACTCATTTCCTCGATTTTTCAGACTACACATCGCATATTTGTTACAACAACATAAAATTATTATTTTTTTATTATTTATAAACAACGGAAACATAAAGAAAAAAGTGAAACATACTTTAAACTACTTTTATTCCCCTCTATAATCAGTTATTATATCAAAATTACATTTCAAAATTAATGTTAAAAACTTTTAGTAATTTAAAATATTTCAATTTATTCTCTGGAAAATTTAATTTTTTAGCTGTGTCATTGTAATAAATGAGCAACATTTAATCAAGAAATAGTAAGACAGACAGCGCGATATTTAAAGCGCAAGATAATACATACCTGTCTTTCACTGTCGATCAAATCCTGGTCACTTCTTCGACTCCTTCGCATCGTGCTGTTGAGTTCGAAGATCGTGAGATTGGAACCAAGCCGCTCATAGCTTGCGGCTCGATTACTCGGCAGCGTTGAGCTGCCGTCGATGCAGGAGCACATCTTTGGGAGCCAATCTGTAAGGGCCCAAGGAGATACTAGAGAGAGATTGATACGGCGTGTCGTGATTAATAAATAAAAGAGAAAAGGGCTATACAACTGAAAAAAATCGCAAAGAATGTCAATCCGTTAAAAACGCTAAAACTACTATATAAATATACTGGCAAAGAGGCATAAGAGCGAGCCCGCTGTACTAAAGATCTATTTTACAACTTGGGCTTCACAGGATCTACATAGTCGGGATGGAGCCACTACATTATCGATGAGTGAACGTGGCCCCCTCTCGTTTCAAGAGACACAAAGAAAAAAAAAGTAGTGTTCAAACATTAAGGACAAAATGTAACGTCGTGCTGTGAAATCGCAGCAATTCTCGGGCGAATTTTCCGATTAGCAATAACTGTATGTTGGAATATCGAGGCGCAGGGATATGAGGTAGATAAGTGACTACACATGTGCTGCGACATTGAAGACACGTTGTGCGTAGTGTGTGAATCGCGTTTTATCTGCGAGCCGTTGCGTTGCAACGCGGATATTTACACCTCGCCGAGGTCGCGCGCAATTCCTGGCGCTTGCCGCGCCGTCTTCTCTTTCTTTTTCTTTAGAATGACTATCATATACCAAATACGAGTCGTAGTAGAATCATACAAGAGTCGTTATCGCTAATCCGACGAATTGTCGTACGCAGACACCTTTACAGGCCACGCGGGTCAAATTTCTAATATAAACCGTTGGGTCGAGTGATTTCAAGCAGGAAATACCGATATTTTTTATTGAGATAAATCAATCCTATTCCTAATTCACTCTAACTATTTAGGATCCACATTATCATACGAATTTACATAAACTTATATATAAATACATTCCACTTGGATATCATTAACTTTTCTATTATATTAAAATTTTGTATTTGTAGATAAAAAACAAAGGAAATATTTGTATAAGTAAATAAATAAAAGTTTCATTAAAAATACTGTTTCAATAAAAATATTTTTAACAAAATATGTTAGTTTAAAGAATAATTTTATTAATTCTTATAACAAAAATGAAAATTGTAAGTAAAAATTGATGTATGATCATCAAACAAAAATATAGTGAGCTTGATGCGTAAGAACAAATGGATCATTTGGATATTTATTATATATATCATCGTAATTGTTTTCTATAAAACTTTCTATTAGAAATTAATTTAATTTTAAGAATGGAACTGCTTAATTTTACAAACACACAAGTGGAAAAAAATTATTTCAAATATCAAAAATTATAAATTTTATATTTCATGATATTTATGCAATGATTTTACATAATTAACGATATATTCACTTAAAATTAGAGATTAATTCGAAGACCGCTGATTAATACCTCTTCTCATAATTTTTCTTCATAATATTTTGTAGAATCTCTATATTTCACAAATTTATTTTTGTCTTATTCCAATCATTTATTCAATATACGTTTGCAACCCAATCAAAGGACTTTCTCCGGTTAGCTCGAATGCGCAAAAGTCATCGCCGCGACATGCCACAAAGATACCTTGAAGAGATGAATAGCCTTAATAATCGTTCTTCTGTCCTATATCCGGACTGCGTCGTGACGACGCAACAGCAACAAGAATCCACGTGTATAATATACATATGTGCCAGCGTCGATACTCGACACGTCCATCGAATTCGTTCGCCGTGAATTAACGATTATTTCCACAAACGATCAATAACAGATACAACAAGACGAGCGAAGAAGAAACAACAAATATATAAACTAATATTAACGATATCACGCGAAATTGTAAGAATAGAGCTCAAAAATTTCTCGCTTGTTCCATTTGATTAATAAAATTTTTTCTTGAATTTTTTCGTGAGTTGACATTTCAATTATAAAGTGATTATATTTTAAGAAATTATAAATAAACTACAAGTGAACAAACTATAAATAAATTATGAGGAAATATACAGAATATTCCATCTGAAATGATTTTATGAAGTTTTAAATTTAAATGAAATAATTTTATCAAATTATATATATATATTAATACGAAGCCAGAAGTTTATCAGGCACCGTTTTATATAAACACCAGGGGGGAAATCGACTGCAATTGCAAATGATTATGAATTTCGCTAAGACTGCTCAAAATCCCGATGACGTTTCACTGTATTATCGCGAGATGATAAGAGAATGTAAAATGCCTGCTATTTCGAGATTCTTAAATTATCGCTGATAATGGTGGAAAATCACTAATGCATTCACTTGTATTGCAGCTACGTTTGCATTCCCATTTTAAAGAATCCCGACTTTTAACGAATCAACGTTTTTATTCAAATAAATAAATAAACAGAAACCGAATCTCTCGTAAAACATGTTATTTGACTAATTAATTCCTATTAATATTGTCCATTTAAATTTTTCGAACAAATTTATTTGTTTGATCTAAATAAGCTTTTATTACTTTTGAAGCTTCCACGAGAATTTTTTATACAAAAGCTATGCGTTTTACGAATTGTGTCAAAATCCATTATTAAAATGCCAATGTTACATAAACATTGCAGTTCATTTCATGAGAACGAAGATCAGTCTGAGCTGCTCCTCCGAAGGATTCTCTTTATATACATATATCTATGCTGTTTAAAAATAGAAGGAGGAGAAGGGGAAAGTAGAATGGAAGTAGCAGGAAAAAGAATGTATCTTCGACGACAAGGAGAACGATCTTTATTCTATTCATGTTATAGTCATTAACTCTCTTTATTGAGATGTTTTTGTATCTCTATACACACAGAAAAATATTATTCTATTGCCAAGAAAAGTAATTACTCAATTTATTTTTCTTCTTTCAAGTAATGATTAGTTTCAATAAAGAATACTTTCTTTCTTGTGTGCTAGTAATCTTAAAATGTACTCGTCACAAGTTTTAGAAATACTCAATATCATATATTCAAAATAAGAATTTATTCTCTTTTGAAGTATATTATAAAATTTTATCGAAGAAAAGTCAAATTTGATTAACTTGAATATTTAATAATATTGATGTAAGAAAATTTATTGGGTCAGAAAGATTTGATATACTTCTTTCAATTCTATACAACAGATTTAGGAAAAACGAAATATAATGTTCAAATCTCTTCAAATATTAATAATATTAAACTAAATAATAAAAAAAATAATTTAAAAAAATAAAAAATGATAAAAAAATAATAAAAAGATAGTTAAAAAATTAATAATATTAAATTGTCAGTAGAAGCATGAAATTAAGAATGGTTACAGTAGGAGGTATACCGTTAGCAATGACTCGACCCCACAAGCGTGCGATTAGCTCAGTGTATACATGTATGTATTAGGCTTAGGGATCGTAGGTTCTAGAGATCTTAGATTCAAATCTTGCGGTGCGATGCCTTTTTCAATAATTAATTACAGTTAATTAGACAGAATATAGGTATGCGAAATAGTAAAAATATAAATTGAACTGAAAAAATAAGAAGTAATAATAACAAAAAAATTATTTTTTTCGTTAAGATGTAACCGTAACCTTTTTATTACAAGTAAATATGATACTTGATTCAAGCAAAGGAAGAATTGTTCTTAAGAAAAAAAGATATCTTTATTAAAACATATGGTTCTCTTCCATCGATTCTATATAATAAATAAATCGAATTTTTGGTTCAATTTAATATTCTTGATTGAAGTATTAAACTTTCTAGGATTCAGAATATATTTTGAATAAATTTAACGCTTGTGATGAACTTATGATAGACTTGCGGATATATGAACATTTAAAATACTTGAAAGAAGTCATTATTACTCTCTTGCGTACAGTATATCTTTTTCTGCGTGTAGCCTCTCTGTATTTTTTTGGAAAGTATAATAATAGACAGTAGTAGTGGCGTAATTGTTTTTCATTTTATTAAACAGTATTTAGTGTCCTCTCTCAATGTTGTGTTCTGATAATGTTAACTGTGTGATATGTTTTAATTTGACGTCACGTTGATGTTCTTTCATCCGTAGATTAACCGTTTTCCCATAGTATATTTGTTCCAAGAGCCAAATATTTTATATACTTCTGCGGAACTGAGTGGAGGATTTTTAATCTTTAGGATTTCTCAAAATTTGCCTTATCTTTTTAAGGGGTTAAGGGGTTTGATTAATATCGATTTCCATCAGAGCAAGCGAATAGCATCCGCAGACAGGTAATTAATATCCTTTCCAAAGTCAAGCCTTCTTCACCTAATATCACTAGACAAAAGCGATTCGCCCTCTAATTGTAGTAAGAACTGAGTAAGGTACAGATAGCATCGTGCTTTCAATCGATAAAGGCAATACAGCAGTAGTCATGAACACATTAGACTACACGAAAAAAAGATCCTAGTGAAAAGAAGTAGTATTCTCAGTAAGAACACTAAAATCCACACATTCTCAAATCAACACTAAATCTACTCCTATTAAAACTATACGGTCTGTCCAAAATACACAAATCTAATATTTCTCTCAGACCAATTGTCAGTGCTGTAAACTTTCCGACATTAGAGCTCTAGATATACCAGAATAACTCAAGCCTTTTTGTCTGGACCGAGTATCGACAACTTTTCTATTGGCTATTTCGACCGCCATTTCTAACCTGATAGTCTATTATCCAATAAGCGTTTAGTAATTCTTTAAGAGCAAACATGGCAGTTCTGCGCTACTATAGTACATTTATAGAGCTCTATATATAACCCATCCTGTTTTCTAGCACAAAAACTTCTATACTTCATAAAAAAATCTGTAGGAAAATCTGAATTACAACTCAATTTCATACAAAAAAAATCAAAAAAATTCGATTACATCCTGCAGACATGCTTGTGTGTTAGGATGCAGAATCCTTTTTCATACAAGTTCCAGTCAAAGACAACATTAGACATAATCAACAGAAGCCTCATACGAAGTTTCCTGTCATTCCTTTAATATAGCACTGCTTAATAGCCATATACTTATTCCATAATAACCAATTCTATGAATAAACTTCAGGATCAGCAATGGATTCTCCTATTTCTCC